ACTGTTCATAGTGAGAGTACACAGTATGCCAAAACCTTAAATTTTTCCACTAGTAACATTTTAGATCGATTGTCATTAGTAGTGTAGTGTAGTGTTAGTTGGTGAACCTCTGTTAAATTACAATGATTCTATTCGTGAAAACCTGTAATTGGCTTGATGTAGTATATCAATCTGACCGTTTTATTTTTGTAGCTGTTGGTTTTCCTAACTGAAGTAAATTAATAATTTAATAGTCGTGAAGGGTCTGTGGCCTTGGACGGAACGAAGTTCCTGACGCTTTTTGCTAGACGTTTGGTATACAGTTATAATAATTTATATTATAAAACATCAAGGTAATAGAGTTAAATTTAAATAACTATAGTAAGAAGTGTCGGCAAAAACTCTTGTTACACATTTTTCGGTCTCGCTCCCATCCGCTCATACTTGTCACATCACATCAACAGCCTACAACAGTCCATTGCTGAACATAGGCCTCTCCTTAGAAAGGTAAAGAACACGGAGTGTCACCACCCCTATTCATCCCGTGGGTGTCGTAAGAGCCGACTCAGGGAGCAAACTACGCAGGACAACAGCACTGCAAAGAAAAGCAAAACTTGAAAAAAAGCCCTATACCAACCCGTCTGGCCAACGTGATATAGTAGGCCAAAACCTCCTTTGTAAGGAGAGGCCTATGTCCATCAGTGGACTAGTAAAGGCTGTCGATTTAATGATGATAATGTGAGGGGTTAGAGGGCTCTGATGATTCGACTACAGCCAGTTGTAGTCATTGGTACGCGACCCTGACCAGCTCGTACATTAACCAATCCCATCCAGGAAAATACCTTCAATGATAGTTGCGAGACCTAAAGTTTATCGGAACTAAATTTTTACTGAACTTTTATTACGAAAATTTGTCTTCCGTATCTCTCTACTTGAGCTGACCGACGATGTGTGCCGAAGCATACTTAAAACATCTTAATATGATAATATTACAATAGTCTTAGATATTTCTAAGTATCTAACTTAATACGAAATAGCGTCATCTATCCAATAATGCTTCGTCTTACTCATGAATAATAAACAACAAATAAAATGACTGTCTTCTTAGTAAATTCATGATTAATGTATGAAAACTTGTAATCAATTGCAGTACTGTCACATAAAATTTAATTGTCACATAAAAAAGCAATTTCCCATAAATCATTACTATTGATTGAAGTAAATTTTTGATCTCCGGAACAATAATTACATTTCATTTTTATTACAACAAACTTAATTACTTAACACTACAACTATAAAGTGATAAAAATTAACAATAATATTTGATTGCGCAATTTACGACCGCAACTTTCTACGTAGTATGGCTTATTTTCGCTAGGTGGCGCTAAGATGAGTCATAAATTTGAAATGTTCAAATATTTCAAATTTAAGTCAGGACTTTCTGTAGGCTTAAGCTGCTTAAATAAAACTATTAAGCCTATTTTTGACGACCGAATGGCGTAGTGGTTTGTGTAACGGACTGCTATTCCAAAGGTCGCGGGTTCGATTCACGCTCAAGTCAAACATTTGTGTGCTTGAACATTTAATGTTTGATTTGGTCTGGGTCTTTCTATGTATAATATGTATGTATTTACAAAAGCAAAGTATATATGTATTTATATCAGTTGTCCAGTACCCATAGTACAAGCTCTGCTTAATTTGGGACTAGATGGCGTTGTGTGAATGTGGTACAATATTTTTATTATTATAATTATAAGCCGCAATTTGATTTTCAACCGAATTAAAAAATAAGTAAAAACATAAGTATGTTTTTACTTATTTATTTATTTACATATCGAGCGAAGTCCAGTTTTGGGGTCACTTAGAAGATAATGTCAAATTGGCCTCGAAGAAGCTCGGTGTGCAGAACAGATCGACACAGTATTTCACGCCGGGCCCACCGCCTTCAGCTCTATAAGGCGCAAGTCTGGCCGCATATGGAATACTGTTCTCATCTCTATGCAGGGGCGCCTCAGTACCAGTTTTTCCCTCTGGACCGCATCCAACGAAGAGCGACTCGAATACTCGATAGCCCAAACATCTCCAATCGGCTCGATCCCTTAGCGTTACGTAGAGATGTGTCTTCACTCTGCATTCTTAATCGCAAATACCATGCAAAGCGATCCGAAGAATTGTTCGGACTAATACCGGCCGCAACTTTCCGCCATCGCTACACAATTCCACATCGGTAAAATTTTTATTCTCATCACCTGGATAGTTGGCGCTTACTGTGATTTCAAGACACCTTTTGCCTCGCACAACCAATCTCTGAAACGGGTTATCGTCTACGGTATTTCAGGACCGATACGACCTTTAAAAATTCAAGAAAAAAGCGTACTCCTTCATAAAATGCCGGCAACGGGTTTGTGACTCCTGAGTTGCAGACGTTCATGAGCGGCGGTGGTTACTTTCCATCAGGTGACCGTCTGCTCGTCTGCCCCCTCTAACACAAAAAAGTGGTCAAAATACAACTGTAATTCTCCTATTTTTACCACCACCGATCTCTAACTACATGTTAATATGTGGTAACTTATTATCTTTACTGTTTATGTTAACAATATAAAACCTTAAAAACAAAGTTGAATCGACTTTAAACAACACTAACAAAAAGCACTAAAATCCTAGCAGCAATCGCAGTTTATTTGCTGTCATTTTTTGAAGAGTTCCGTTGTCTGTCTCTGTCTCGTCATCAACGCCGTCGTCGTCGTCGACTCATCATCAGATCTATATGAAATTTTAATGGTCTCATTTCGGGGTTTATTCCGAAATGAGACCATTTAAATATTTTTTTCGAACAAGAAAAGAATTTTGAAAAGCCGTCTATACAGAGAGTTTCATTTCCTTTCACATATACTTAAGCCACATATTCTACCCTTAATTTCTAGGCGATTTGCAAAATATGAACAAAATATATCCAGTAGTTTAGCCACAGGACTCATTTTTGTGTTTCGTAAATTGCAACATCATGTGTACATGCAGTCATAATACATTGACCTCAGGCGGCGATCAGCTGTAGGTATAGATCAGCGGCGCGGTAATCACACGTTGCCGCTTTTACTACACCCGAATCGAACGAAATATGTTGATTATTACGTCATCACGATGCAACACGCGTTTTTAATTAGTTCATCCAGTAAGGACAGTCAGTCGGCCCTTGGCCACCGGCGAGCTTATGCTATTCCGTATCCTTGTAGATGCGCTCACGACAAATAACCGTAATAATAATATTGTTGTTGTTTATGAGATACATATTTGTTTAGAGAAGTTTTCTTGTGGTAATAATTGTTTAGTCTTATTGCTTTCGTCATAATACACGGCAATGGTGTGAACAATTAATGTTATCGTGTGCGCAAGACTTCGTAATGTAAGGAGTCCTGCTAATTTTATTTTGAAAAGTCACTATTAGGTTCTGTGTGTAGTGTAGTGTGAAACTGAGTGCATTATCAGTCTTTTAATTTTATTGGGTTATCGATATCAACATCCATAATGCCGTGAGTGACCTTCACAGCCGCGGAATATCCTGCTATGATGTTAATTTATGGAAAACTCTATCAAAACGCATCTTTTGCTTTACGGACACGTATGGAGTCAATCGTGTATGTCCTACAGACTGCCGAATTTTTGTAAGGGCGGTACAAAGATTACGAGACAACCAAGGTAACTACTTTTTCAAGGAGTGACGCGTACTGCTGGGTCGGAAGCTAGTCGAGCATTCACGAAATAAACACGTGAATAAAATCGCATTCTTTATAAATAGATTTTAAAAGCAAGTGAAGTGATTGGTAGGTAGGTAATAAGAATGTAAAGTTCGCCGGCGGCGGCGTCGTTTTGATGTCGCCGACATTGCGACGCTGCCGTGTAGGTACAGTTCACCGACGCATGTTATCAATGGTGTTCTAATTCGGAAATTATTTTATTGTATTTAGTTTGTTCTAAATTTGCATTTCTGTATTTTCGTACTAATTTTTTATTTTTTTATTTTAACCGACGTATATTGAACCGTGTTATCTGTTATTTCATTTTTTGTGATATCTATACCGCCACAGTGTATATGACGAAGTTATGCCCGAACATAGATAAAAATCGGTTGTCTGTAAAGTCGGTTTACTGACGATAGTTGCACGTGACAACGTCATAAGACACCACATTCACTTTTCACTGCACTGTATTATTGTATAGCAGCTGTCCACGCGGACGCATCGCTCACTCAAGTAGGAGAGAGACAGATGTCGAACGCTACCGAACGCGGAGGCCGATTGTGCCTCTTTGTCACTCGTTCCGCGCTTTCACTTGCACTTCAAGCCTTAAATGGAACGCCTCAGAGCGAGGTAACGCCTCATGAGTCATGTTTTTTTCGTGCCTGCAGCCGGCTCCATCGAATTATAAGACGTTGTCACGTCAAAAAATATACTGATAACCTCCGCCTTTTTGAAGTCGGTTAACAAAATTGAAATCATACCGTACAAAATAGTAATAATTATAAATTGAAACACCTCACACACGGCCGTCGAATACGAAACTAGGCAGAGCTTGTACTATAGTAACCAGACTGCTGATAAACATACAAGACATATATTTCTAAATACATACATGTTTAGTTACATAGATAAGTTACATCCAGATACAACAAGCTTTTGTTTTATGGTATAAGGGGGCAAACGAGCAGACGGGTGACCTGATGGTACACAACTACCGCCGCCCATGACACCTGCAACTCAAAAGTGACAAGTGCGTTGCTGCCCTCGGAGTCCTTCTCGCTCTAGTCAGCGGGAGGGGGGGATTTGGGCTCCGTTAACCTCACTCACTCAGTGAAAGGTTTTCTGTGAGGCCGTGGTATCACTCCGGTCGAGCCGGCCCATTCGTGCCGAAGCATGGCTCTCCCATGGTAGTATATTTATCGGCTATCGTGGTCCTCACACGTTTATTAAGTTTGAATGGGAATTGAACTCAATGTATTTATTGTTTGTCTCCCTCTGTTCCAGTGCATCCGAAGGTTCGTTCTTTCCACCTCGCTCGCTGACCAAGTCCGATACCGTCCACATTTACGACAAGGATCTCTGCAGGATACTGCCTCTACAGTACCAGAAGGATGTTTACAAAGATGGTAAGATCATAAATTTATTATAAACGATATAAGCGATTCTACTCATTCCTCTTGAATCACTCTCTGTGTTCATGAAAACCGCAATAAAATCCATTGAGTAGCTTGAAAAATCCAAGCGTACAAGAACGAGTAGCGACTTCATTTTATCCTATGTTTAGATTAAAAAAATGAGCGATGGTTACCATGGAAGTGTACCCTGAAAGAAGCGGCAATAGATGAAAAGTTGAGGAGCAAAAGGTTAATCTGGAATACATATGTGGCGACTTCCCACATACAAAGAAACAGAAACATACTACAGCGCCATCTAACGAAGATACACCGAACTACGGAGTAACTACTAAATGAGAATTGCTTATCCTGTATCGCGATTTGAAGAATTCTCTCGCAAATTAGCATATATACAACTTCCCAACATCAACCGCTGGGCCGCGGCCCGCCAGGCATGATCACCTCGCCTGAACGGAGGATCCTCCCTTTGTGTTGGAGGGACATGTCACCCGTTCCTCCACAGATCTATGATGTGTAGAGATGAACAAAATGACAAAGAAGTCAGTCCAGAACCAAAAAAATAAAACTATGTGTGATCCACAAATTGTTGTTCTGAGTATGGGTATTCTTTGTGTCCGTTTCATGTATGTATTTAAAGTCCTTATGGCAACCGACGGCTTAACGTCCTCTCCGTGGCATGGTGGTGGGGTCTAAATGATTTCATGATCACCCATCCATAGACTGACCTATCTACTCGGTTACGATTTAGCCACGTGCCCCTCTAAACAATCCTGCTAAATAACTGTGCTTTTTCACCAGGTATACAAACAGGCCTATACACTCCACCGCCTTCTACGTTCGAGAGTGCTGACATCAATCCTGACAACAAGTGTTACTACCGTGGGGAGAAATGCCCCCCCAAGGGGTTGCAAAATATCAGTCCCTGCCAATACAGTAAGTGCTAACTTGTCGTGATGACTAGTCCATTGCTATTAACCCCAAGCGGATGCTCCTTTGTGTGCATCATCATCATCAGTCTATCGCCGTCCACTTCTGACCGAAGGCTTTCCCCAAGGAGCGCCAACCATACCGGTCTTGGCCAGTCCGCATCCATCCAATGCCAGCCACTTTCTTCAAGTCGTTGGACCATCGTGCCGAAGATTGCCCACTATGTTTGCCCAATCATTATCTCCACTCTTTTCGGCTCCAACGACCATAAGAGAGAATAGATCATGATCTTCATCATCATCACCTTAGAAAAGAGGTTTAGGCCCATGATACCACGCTGGCCAGACGGTTGGTGTAGGGTTTGTTTCAAGTTTTCCTTCTCTTTGCAGTGCTATTGTCCTGCAGAGCTTGCTCCCTTAACCGGTTCTTACGACACCCATTGAATGAAAAGGGGTGGTGACACTCCGAGAGTTCAGATACTTAATTTCAAAGAACGGAGTCAATAGATGTAGTGGCTGAGACTTGGCAGGGGTGAAGGAATTCTCTTCACGTATTAATGAACAGCATAAACAGGCTCAGAGTCGTTCAAGTGGCTGTGCAGAGGACCATGACCCTGTTGGATTTCTCTGCAGAAGAAGAAGAAAGAGAAGGGGAGAGCGAAATAGCTCTCCCACCTGTCATGACACACGGCGTCAAAAAAAACCTTAAGTTTCTTTTCACAGAGCTTAACTTACAACCTGCCCCCCCCCCCCCCCTCCATATTCAGATGGGAGGAGGCGACGATAATTACTTACCATCGGGTGCCATATCTGCTCGTGTGTCCCATATGCTATGAGAAACAGTGACCCTTTTTTTTTTCCGTGCGGAAATCCCCTCGGATACCACCGGTATATATCGGTATAATGTCGGACTCGAACCGACTAAAACCGCACGCCGTCTCGGGTACTAATAGCCGGGGAACCAGGTATACCCTAGAAAGGAAGTCCCTGGTGCCCCGACATAGAAACAGTGACCCTGAAACTGCGGAGAACAGCTACCTATGTATTGACAAAAACCTTCCAATACTTTCAGATGCTCCTGTTTATCTCTCATTTCCACATTTCTACGATGCTGATCCGGAACTGCTTGTTAAATTCGAAGGACTGAAGCCTGAAAAAAAGAAACATGAGACTTATTTCATGATACAACCGGTAAGAATACTTCTTTTACTAATCTCCCTCTTTTTTAAATAACTGGAGAGACAGAGATACGAAAGTATCATCAGGTAAATCTCCTTCAAATCGAAATAATTGAATGCTAATTTGACTGCACGGATGGCGTAGTGGTTTAAGCGGTCGCCAGGCCGCTTCTTACTACGCTGCGTGTTGTGGGTTTAAACCCCACATGGGACGACACTTTGTGTGATCCACAAATTGTTGTTTTGAGTCTGGGTGTTCTTTGTGTCCGTTTCATGTATGTTTGTAAAGTTCCCCGCGACACAGGATTTATTCCTAATGCGGGAGTTGTCTTTTCAAGAAGAAGAAGAATTTGGATACTGGTAAATTTGGCATGGTTATGCATCCTTTCAGAAAACTCTTTTAATTTGATTATTTCAGTAAACAACCAGAAAAAAATACTAAAAGTTTACTCAATCAATGATTGAAAAAATGTTAATTATTTTTGCTGTACAATCTTATTTGATTTTGAAATATTTATGTCGGTTGTATGTCGGTTCTCGCGATAAATGTACCCTTTTTTTCTCCCCCGTGAGGAAATCCCCTCGGATACCACCCATCGGTGGTATGTCGGACTCGAACCGACTAAAACCGCACGCCGTCTCGGGTACTAATAGCCGGAGAACCAGGTATACCCTAGAAGCGATAAATGTACCCTATGTTACTTTCTGATAATGCAGCTTTCCATTGGTGAAAGAATTTTTAAAATCGGTTTAGTGGTGTAACAAACAAACAAACTCACTTTTAAATTTATCATATACTAGCTGAGACCCGCGGTGTTACCCGCGTTTGTTGTTACAACCGCGGGCAACGCCGCGGGGCGAAGCTAGTCTAAAAAAAAGTAGCTTAAGTTACTCCTTATGTCATCACAACCCTTTTTTTTTTTTTTTTTTTTTTTTTTTTTTTTTTTTTTTTTTTTAACGTGTGGAAATCCCCTCGGACCGTCAGCGCCGGCCCGCTCCTGGTGCGGGCTCCGTCTTCAATTATCCCAGCGCTGGGCAAAACCTTTAGGTAAACTCTCTATTGAGGCGACGTCCGGCACACGCGGACGCCGCCCCCTCGCGGCTGGCCAACTAATGCGGGTGGAGGGGAAACCCACCCCGTCCACCCGCGGCCACACTCAGGGCGGCATGAGGCGCAGGTAAGCGCGCCTCCGCCGCCCGGTTCGCCGGCGGCGGATCAGGTCCGAGTGGAGGTCGTCCTCCCGGGCCTTCTCCGCCGCCTCCTTCTGCGAGATTACCTCCTCGCAGAAGGTTGCGACCGCGGTAAAACAACTGTCGCTACCGGCCATGGAGCGAATTACGGCCGGTAGCGAGAGATCTGCAGTGAGGGCCCGGCGCTGCGTCGCCCATGCGGGGCAGACCGCCAGCGTGTGCTGGGCCGAGTCCTCACTGCAGTCGCAGTGGTGGCAGGGGGACTCAGTTCCCTCCTAGCGACCGAGTGCAGGTACTTTCCGAAGCAACCGTGCCCGGAAAGCACCTGCGTCAGCCGGAAGGAAAGGGCCCCGTGCTGCCGCCCTGCCCACTCGGCTATGACCGGCTGGAGAGCCTCCACGGCGGCGAAGCCAGCGCGTGGAGTCTCCAGCCGGAACGACCATCTAACCATGGTGGCTCGGCGAGCGGCTTCGCGCCACTCGCGCACGTCTTCGGGCGGAGGGCGAAATCCGCTCTCCGCCCGGAAGTCAGCCACTCGCCGATAAACTTCGGCGAGCACCTCCGCCTCCAAATCCCACGGGGGTGTTCCGGCCAAGGCGCAAGCCGCCTCGGTGGACACCGTGCGGTATCCGCGTATGGCTCTGACCGCCAATATCCTCTGGGGGCGCCAGAGGCGCGCCCTATTCGGGGCGGTCAGAGCCGCCACCCACACCGGTGCACCATAAAGCGCCATGGACCGGACAACCCCCGCGTACAGCCGCCTCGTGGGAACACTGGCCCCGCCCAAATTGGGCAAAAGTCGCCCTAGGGCGGAGGCAGTGTCCACCAGCTTCGGACCAAGCTGTCGGAAGTGCTCGTCGAAGAGCCACCTACCGTCTAGGACCAGACCCAGGTACCTCATCTGGGCCCGGACCGGTACGAGGACCGAGCCGACCTCGATTGAGGCGCCGGCGGGTGGACCACGACGGGGCCCATGAAATAATAGGGCCTCCGTCTTATCCAGGGCCACCCGTAATCCCAACGCCTCAATGCGCCCGACCACCTGGGAAACTCCCGTGGCGGCCAGGCGCGCCGCCTCCTGGAAGTTAGCCCCCCGGGCCGTGACTAAAGTGTCATCTGCGTAGCAGAGTACACCCAGCCCGGGGGGGAGACGCCCTCGTAGGGCCCAGTCGTATCCAATGTTCCACAGGAGTGGTCCTAGGACAGACCCCTGCGGAACACCGCACGACATGGCCCTGCGTCTCAAGACGCCATCTCGGTCCTCGTACATGACGGTTCGCTCCTCAAGGTAGTCTGCCACCAGCCGCCTCAGGTATTCCGGCACTCCGTGGTAGCGGAGCGCTTCCCTGATGCAGCTGAATGGCAGACTATTGAAGGCGTTGGCGATGTCCAAGGACACCGCCAACACCACTCCGCCGCAGCTCACGGCCTCCTCGGTCACGGCCCTAAGGCGCATTACGGCATCGATCGTCGAACGCCCCGCTCGGAAACCGAATTGGGCGTCCGACAGATCAGGGCCAACCTCGCAAAGGTGCCGGACGATGCGGGCAGAAAGCACCCTCTCAAAAAGTTTACCCGCCTCGTCCAGCAACACGATAGGCCTATAGGCCGCGACCGATTCGGCAGGCCGTCCCGGCTTCTGCAGCAGGACCAGCTTCCCGCATTTCCAGCGCTCAGGGAAGCGTCCGGACGCCAGGCTAGCGTCCAACACCCCCCTGAGGTGGTCCGACATGTAGTCGAGGGCTCGGGCCATCACTCGGGCTGGAACCCCGTCCGGCCCGGGGGCAGTGTTCTTGGATCTAATCCGTAGAACAGCCGCCCCTAACTCCGATTCCCTGACGGGCGGAACATCAGCCTCGCTGCCCCCGTCGTCTCCGGCTGATGCAGCCATCGACGGGGGTGTGTGCTCCGCCCGCTGCGGGAATAGGCCCTCGACCACTTCCTGCAGGAAGCTGGGCTGGAGAGTCTCCGTAAGGGGGGGGCCCGACGTGCGGAGCTTTTGACGCACCGCACGATAAGGGCGACCCCAGGGGTCACGCTCGAGACTCTCCAGCATCTCCTCTCTACTGTGTAAGGTTGGGTGTCGAGAGAGAAATTAAAGATGTTGTTAGATCAACGATCAGATTTATTCTCCAGTAAATACAATAGTGATCACTACTTTTATCTTAAGATAGACATACGTATTATATATGTATTACTACACTACACCCCCCTTCTTTTAAAAAAAATAAAATAATACAAGATATTTATTTTATTTTCATTATAAAAATTCCTTAGATCTAAAAACACACAATATTTATGGTAAACAAAAAGAAAAAAAAATTAAAGGTTATAAAACTAGGTAAATATTACAAATTTAAGTTCTATACAATTTGGTTCTATTTTTGTGAACTGTTTCAATTTTATTATCTCTAATTATTTTAACATTCGGTGACACATCTTCTAAAACTTTAAAAGGACCAATATAAACATTCTGAAATTTATTGCAATTTTCATTGCGTAATAAAATTAAATCATTAGGTTCGTAAATAGTTGGATTTATTTGCTTATCGTAATAACGTTTTCGGGCTACTTTTGACATTAACAAATTTTCCCTAGCTTGTACCTGAGATTTTTGAAGTCTATATTTCAAGGTTAATGGATAATCATCACTATTGTACAGAGGTTCAACTTGTTGAGACAAATTTGTAGGTAATTTACACAGTTTTCCAAACACTAATTCGTATGGCGTAAATTTTGTAGATGTGTGTACAGTAGTATTATAACTAAAAGACCAATAGGGAACCCAGGTGCTCCACTCTCTAGAGCTATTATTAGTCTGTATCCGAAGATAAGCATTTAAATTTTTATGTGCATTTTCAAGCGCACCTATAGATTCATGATGGTAAGCGGTTGAAAATAATTGTTGAACACCAAGTAATTTACAAACCTCACTCATTGTTGATGCTATGAACTCCGAACCCTTATCTGTCGCGATTTCTCGCGGTATACCATACCTGAGAATGAAGTTTTCTACGAAAGATTTTGCTACGGTGACAGCGTCCTTACGATCTAAAGGATATGCTTCTACGAACTTAGTGAGTTCGCACTGAATAGTTAAAATATATACCTTACCATAATAATCCTTATCTAGGGGCCCCACTAAATCTAAAAATATCTTATCAAATGCGCCTGCGGCAGTGCTAGTTACCACCATAGGCTCTTTAACGGGCAAAGAATGCTTTTGCATTTGGCATTTCTTGCATTTAGCTACAAAAGCAGTAACGTCACGTTCCATTCCAGGCCAAAAATAAGATTTTTTGATGTTATTTAACATTCTTCTTATTCCGGCATGACCACTAGTTGGTAGGATGTGATAGTCATTTATGATTACCTTTTTGTCATCATTAGAAATTATTCGCTTAACCCCCTTTAGGATATGTAGTCGTGGTCCGGACCATGGATTTTTATTATTTATTTCTTTTGATAACCAATTTACAAATTCATTACAACTTGCAAGTTTTATAATAAAGAGATCTTTTATACTCATTTTTTTACAATATTGCTCCAGTTCACTCACATATGCGTCTCGCGCGATACATGATCGGAAGTCTGGACAAGTATACAATATCATTTCACTTTTATTATATAAAAATCTATCTGGACTATTTAATTCACTATTCATAATATTCATTTTTCTCCGAGAAACTAATAATAATTCAACAGAATTTGACGGCTTTGTAAGCATTTCCACAACCTTCGGTTGATCAGGCCGAATGTTAGTGGTTGAGCTCGGCAAAGTTTGCAAATTTGGGTGAATTACTTTCTGACCTTCCAGTTCCT